TTGTCAAACAAAACTTAATATGTATGCAAGATTATAATGATAGCTAGGATAGAAGAAAATCATCATAATTTCATTTCATGTGAAATCTTCAAAAACAAATATGACTAATATTGAGATTTAGATCTTTCTCACTTTATTTAACTTTTGTATAGTGACAACTAATAAATTATGTTACGCTTTAAATTTATTATTTACAGAGTTAGAGTTTTTTAAATAAAAAAAGATACTTATCCTATTATAATAATCTTTTGAGCACTTCATCAATCAACTCACTTTTAATTTTAGATTTTACACATATTATCATCATACCATCATACCATATAAAACTGAAATAAAACTTAAACTTATTTGGATTATATAACTTTATTAGACTTTAGTAGTTTTTTATTTAACCCAATTTTGAAAACCAAATACAATTAGTAAATGTCCCTATAAAATTCTTCAACATTCTCCTGCTTAGCCAACACTAATTGGTTTTAAATTTTGAAAAACATTTTAAAATCAATTCTTAAATTAAACACAACTTTAATAGTCATAAATACAAATCAAAATCTCAGCATAAAATTTCATTTAGTGAAAAGACCAATACGAAACTGTGTGGTTATTGTATGACTACAATACAAGACTCCTCACATTCATAAATATCAAATATCTTTATTAACATTAATTTCAATAAGTGTAATAATGTGTAGCGTGGTTTGATATAAGTGAATCTTATAAAAACATGTCAAACCACAAAGATTTTCTTTATGGTTTCAAAAAAACTCTATCAAGATATAATTCCTTTTACACTTTCCTAAGGGAGTCTTTTAAACCTTATTTTAGTTTCATGAAAATTTAGGAAATGATCTCCTTCACTCTTCTAGAAAAACCATTAAACTTCAAAAAAAGTTATTACACTTTCAAAAGAAACCTATATGATTTATACCTCAAGATCTTGATATAAATATCTTTATAGGATCATAAAAATCTTCAATAGAATTCAAATACATTATTATAAAATAATAAATGATATAATAAGCAAAATAGAGCTTATTATTAAGAAAAAAATCAACCTCTTCCAATCAAGAATATCCAAAAATCTTCATAAATAATTAACAAAGCTATAATTTCTTGATAAGTAAATTAGTCAACACAATCATAATAATATATGACTATAATTATCATTCATAATTACACCTTAATAACACTCTTATTTTTTAAAGTAAAACCGACAATTACTTTTGATATATTTTTTTCCATCAGACTTTGCAAACAAATCATTTATATAAATAACTAATACTACTAAATATAAAATATCTAAGAGAAAACTGTCACGCCTCAGAACCCAAATCCGGAGACACGACAGACGCCGTGCACTCGTGAAACGGGTCCCACGAATGCACAACGCTCAAAACTTATCCAATTCATAATCTGATACCATCAAAATCTGAAGATCAAATTTTATAATTTGCTCTAATATCATAAATCTCCAAATACACTTTAACTTACAAAATCACGATTTATTTCTAAAATCTATATCAATCTCGAAATGGCTAGCCTTCTAACTCGTCACTCCCCTCAGTTTCCCCGCCCTCGGTATCGCTTCCTGAAATGGTGGACAAAAAAAACTATGAGATAACTCAGTAAGTAAATATGGATAGCCCTTGGGTAAAACTTTTAGCATGCCAGATAAACCATGTAAGTATAATAGAACTTTCACTGATAAACCGTTAATGCGGAAATCAAATTCGATTCAATAGCAAAACGTTCAATGACAAAACCGTCAATGCAAAATCAAATTCAGTTCAATAACAAAACGTTTCCTGACAAACCGTTAATGTAGAAGAAAACTCAGTTCAGTAGTCTCATCTATAAGTCATGGCCAGTGTTATAACAACCCACTGACAGGCAACAGAAATTACTAGTGTTTAACCCCCACTAGCAAGGTTACAGGAACGAACCGGTTCTATCAGTAACATATCGACATGTGCCGACAAGTGCTAGCATTTAACCCCCACTAGCAGGATCATCAATAACATATCGACAGGTGCCGACATGTGCTAGCGTTTAATCCCCACTAGCAGGATCATCAATAACATATCGACAGGTGCCGACATGTGCTAGCGTTTAATCCCCACTAGCAGGATCATCAATAACATATCGACATGCGCCGACATGTGCTAGCGTTTAACCCCCACTAGCAGGATCATCAATAACATATCGACATGCGCCGACATGTGCTAGCGTTTAACCCCCACTAGCAGGATCATCAATAACATATCCACATCGAAGACAAAATAGGCAGAAGTTAACAGAAAAATCATAATTCACAATCACTTTCAAATCATCAGGATAATCAATTAAACTTTCAAGTAGGCATGCTCAATTTAATGAAAAGCATAAAAATTTCACTTCAAATCAGTCATGCTCGTGTAAAACGAGTTTAGTCCCGCCACCACTTCAAAAACAAATCAAAACATGCTTTTAAAAACTATATAGGCATTACCATAAATTTACTTACCTCACTCGCATAAACTGAAGATTCAATCTTAATGCTAACTGACAGAACGATCGGAAACCTAATCAAAATATCCATAATTAATTATCGTATTACCACAAATTCACGATGAAATCATCATTAGCACTACCCCTAATCACAGTGTTATTTCTATCAATCTCCACATAACCGGACATCCCCACATTCATTCTTATATCACAAACTAATCATTTAAATCCCCGCTAATTATGGACCCTCGGTGTGTGAACAGTGCCTATGAACAGTACCCGCGAACAGTAACTTCAACTTCCGAAAGTGGCCAAACAATAACTAATCTCACGGGATTTTTCTCCAAAATCACAACAACCCAATTCAAGTTAATTTCCTATATAATCAAGCTTAAAACACATTTAAAAGGGCTGCCAAATTCATCCCCTATCCCAGCAGATTCGGACAACACAGAGCATCAACTAATGGACAAAACCCAGCAATTAAATGGGTAATTCAAACTTGGAAGAGCCGGCAATTTACCAGAATTTCCGGCAAGCAAAGGCCGGTTCCGACTGGGAAGGAAGCTAACGGCATCTGCAGGGGGGCTCACGGGCTACCTCAAAATTGAGGGAAATAAAAGCAATTAAGGTAAACCCAGCCTAAATCAAGAGAGAAAAGGGAGATTCAGGGCTGTTCTTACCGAAAAACGCCCAGAAATTTCAAACCCACAAGTTGAAGCCGACGGACAGCAGAGGGAGGAAGACGCAGATCTGGGATTTTCTGGGTTCAACAGGTGTTCTAAGACAAGAAAATAGGGAGAAATCCCCAAGCTTTGCCGGATTTCCGGCCGGAAATGGGTGGCGGTGACGGGGTGGGCTCGTCAAGTGTAGAGGGTCGGGGGAGAAGAAGAGCAAGGCACGCGGGTCTGATGAGGAAGGAAAGAAAGAAGAAAAAGAAAGAAAAAAAGGAAAAGAAAAAGCAATTCATCCTTATCCTAATTTTCTTTCTTTTTAGCCCCTCAACTTTTAAAAATTTGACTATTAAGCCCCAAAACAATATTTTTCCTCAAATAAGTCTCCAATTAAATGCTAAAATACCCCAAAATTTTGGGATATTACAAAAACAATCACCATTATCCAAAATAACATAATCTTTAAATTTTAATCAAACACAAAATCACAAAAGTAACAAGACTTTATCAACTTTAATAAAAGTAATTGCGATTTTTATAAGAATTATTTTCCATATAATTCATAACACATATTCAAAAATTTCACCATTACAACCAAGTAAGAATTTCACTATTGTAACCAAGCAACTTTCTTATATCAATAACCTTATTATTATATATTAGGTGATAAACTATTAAACTTTTAGTAATTTTCTAGATACATTATTCCATTATAACTTTCAAATGTCTTATAATCAAGGAAAACAATTTCTTTAAGTAATAACAAACATTTTACAAGATCTTAAATTTTATATTACTCTTATTATAATTACCAATGCTTTTTACTATTTTTCTAGTTGCATAACAAAATAAGAATAGTGTACCATTCAAAATCCACTATGCTAAGAAACATATATCTCCAAACTTAAATCATATGCAATCAAAATACAAATTACATAAGAGACACAAATTAACACTAATCTCTCATTAACAATATAATTTTAATTATAAACCTTTATCTTTATAAAAGTACCACTTCAAAATAAGTTTTACAGTGTATACTTTAATTCATTACATGATTTCCTTTAACTTTATGTAATATCCCATAATTTTGGGTATTTTAGCATTAAATTGGGGACTTATTTGAGGAAAAATATTATTTTGGGGTTTAATCGAAAATTTTCAAAAGTTGAGGGACCTAAAAAAAGAAAGGAAATTAGGATAAGGATGGTTGAGTTTATCTTTCTTTTTCTTCTTCCTTATCCGCGCATCTGCTCTTCTTTCTTCTCCCCTGCACCCGACAAAGCCCCCACAGCCACCGACGCACTCCTCTTGAGAAATTCGACAAAAAGGCTTGAATTTTCCTCTTCTTTTCTTGTTAAATCATGAGATTGGGGCTTAGAATCTTCCCTCTCAACCCAGAAATCCCAGATCTGGTCTGCTCTTCTCCCCGGTCCGCCGGCTGCTATGTGGGTGGGAGATTTTGGGCCTTTTTCTGGTAAGACCTAGCCATGAATCCCTCTCTTTAACCTTGATTTAGGTTGGGTTTACTTTAATTGCTTTATTCCCTTCCAATTTCTGGTAGAGTCGTGAGTCCCCAGCAGAGAATTTCCGCCGGCCTCTTCCCCCCTACAGCTCCGGTTCTTGCTGGAAAATTCTGGTATGATGGCCACTTCTTTAAGCCTTAAGTTAGCCATTTAATTGCTGCCTTGTGTTGTCCGAATTTTTGCTAAAATGAGGGGGGAATTCCGGTAGCCTTTAGTAGCATTTAAATGTGTTTTTGTGCTTGGTTTATGTAGAAGTTAGCTTGAATTAGCTGCTGTGATGATTTGTGTGAGAAATCCCGTGTGTGTGAGTTGTGGGTTGCTAAGGTCATGCTATCCATGTGCTGCCCGTGAGATTGGGGAAATTTTGGTAGCTTTAAGCTATGTTTTTAAGTGTGGTTTAAGTAGAAAATTGGCTTGTTATGATTATTGTGGGATTTTGGAGAAAAACCCCGTGAATTAGCTATGTTTTGTCAATTTTGGGAGTTGAGGTACTGTTCACATGGTACTGTTCACTAGGCACTGTTCACACACCAAGGGTTAATGATTAACGGGGATTTAAAGGTTTATGTTGTGATATAAGAATGAATTTGGAGATGTCCGATTATGTGGAGATTGATAGAAATAGCACTGTGATTAGGGGTAGTGCTAAAGATGATTTCACTGTGAATTGTGGTGGTATGGTTATTAATTGTGGAATATTGTGATTAGGTTTTGATCATTCTGTCACCGTAGCACTTGGGTTAGTCTTCTGTTCTGTGCAAGTGAGGTAAGTAAATTATGGTAAAGCCCTTCGATTTTAAAGCATGTTTTAAACTGTTTTTGAGATGGTGGTAAGGTTTAAATTGATTTTACCAGCATCTGAGTGTGATTAAATTGAAATGAAAGTCTTGATGATTGTTATGAGAATTTTCTTGTTTTTCTGAAATTGAGCATGATT